CACAGTAGGACTGAGTATCTGGGCCCACCTGTCCTGGGCTGACCTGTCCTGGACTCACTGTCCAGGACTGTGGAACCTACTCCCGTGGTCGCTGTTGAAGCCCTCTGTGGTGAAATGCTCCCAGGAGCTGCAGATTGCCAGGCAGCTTTACTTAGGACGATTCCCTAGAAGGAGTCCTAAACCAAGTCAGCCTGGGGGCCGCCTGCTCCCGTCTCCCTTACGCCCCTGTCTGTGGAGTTCTGTCCCTTCGAACGAGGATGCTTAGGGTCGATGTGCCTGTTAAGGACTGGGTGAAAACGATGGAGAAGAAAGGGATCCCGGGCCTTCCTCTCATTTGGCTGCTTTCACCACTCAGGCCTTGCTGAGGGCTCTGCGGAGAGGCGGGGCAGTCCTGCCACTAGGGACCTTCATGAAGCACCCACGTTCCTTACCACCTTCTCCAGCCCTCACAGGAAGGAAGCGGCAGGGTTTCTGCTGGTTGAGCTCCTCCTCCAGGCTTCCTGGATAGGAAGCAGTGGTGCTGCTCAGCACACAGCCCCTCAGGGCCTTCCCTCCTCCCCCAGGGCTGGGGTAGGCTGGGGGGGGGCCACCCCTGCTGATCCATCCCTTGGCTTCTGGGCCCAGCTCCCGACTGCACAGAGGGGATTGTGGAGCTGTGGGCTGGGGCCTCATGGAGGCATGTCCTTCTTCCCAGCCAAGGTGCTGGGATCCTGACTGTCACCTGCCCCAAATCCAGGCTGGGCCCTGTCCGCCCTGGGATGGGTCACAGGAGGCCTGAGAACCGGGTCCAGGCTGTGGTTTGGGTGAAGGACAAAGGGACGTCTCTTCTGCCCACTTTGCCTGTTCTGCTTCTTCTGTTTCTTCATCTCTTCTCCTTTTCAACTCCCCCTAGGCCCAGCTCCCTGTCCAGCACTGAAGACCTGAAATGGACCTTACTCAGCCCTGCACGCAGCAGGAAAGTTCAGCCGCAGTCGCTGCACAGGGCTGGGGTGTGTGATCTCCAATTGCAGGGCTGACTTCCCATCCTCCATCTGCACCGCCTCACCTGCCCCTACCAGGGAATTGGCTTCAGGGGACTGGGAGCAATGTGGCTTCGTTTCTGGGCATCATGGCATCACCCAGACACAGCTGGACCTGCCTTCTGGCTTCTCCTTCACCAGGGACAGTGGGTCAGACCAAGTCACAGGTCCAGGTGCCCGTGGTGGGGGCCAGATGAGGTGGCCTTGGGTTCCCGGTGACACCTTGCTCTCAGTCTCCTCTGTGTGAAGAAACAGAGGGCCCTGAGCAGGACCCCATGGGAAGCCTGAGCCTCCAAGGGAGCCACTCTGCTCCAGCCCTTGCTGTGGGCACAGGGTCACCCGAGGCCTCGGTGCTGACTTCACATTCTCGCTATTCCAGATGAGCCCCTTCTTGGTTGCAGTGAACTCTGCAGCCGTGGGCGGAGGGCTGGCAATGGCCCTGAGAATCTCTAACTTGGCTGAGGTTCTGCGCGGTAGGCAGAGTGCTGGCAGGACACAGAGGGTGCCCAGGCTACAGATTCGGGTTCAGGCCCAGCCCTGTGGCCTGTTCACCTCTGAGAGGGCCGCCCTCCCCGCGCCTGGCTCAGTCTCATCTGACACGCGGCCCTCCAGCTTCTCACTGCCCGCAGGGCGGGCCCTGGGAGTGCTCCTGGCAGGGCCCCTCTCTGTAGACCCTGCAGGACCAGCAGGCCAGGCGGTGGCTGGGAGGCAGGGGACAGGTTGGCCTCTGCAGTCTTGGGTGCACAGAGCTCCTCCCGCCCTGGCCCTGTGACGCCCTCCTGCTGGCCCAGCTGTGCCTTGTGAGGGCCACGGTGATGGCCCATCCTTCTCACCAGCCCCCAGGAACGACACCGCTCTCCCAGCTCCCTTCCTCCCCAGCCCGTCACCACCGGCAACTGCGGTGGCGTGGGTTGGGGGGAGTCTCTCCCTGCATCACAGAAGAGGAGACTGGAGCTGGAGAGGTGGGGGATGGGGGCTTCCTCCCGGGGCGGACCCTCAGGTGGGACCCCCAGGCGCAGGGAGGGCGGGGGGACCTGGGGAGGCCGCGGCCGGGTCCGCCCGCCTCGTGTGCACCTGGAGCGCCCGCGCGGACCCGGAGCCCCCTTCCCCGCCACGCGCCTGGCGCTCCCGGCGCTCCTGGGGCTCCTGGCGCCCTGCCCGGGCGGGCGGGGGCGGGAGCGCTGCTCGCACGCGAGGCCTGGCGGGGCCCCATCGCGTGACGGCGCCGGCGGCTGTGGGGGAAGTGGGGGGAAGTGGGCGGGCGCCCGCGGGGGGCACGCGATGCTGGGAGAGGCGCTGCCCCCGCCCCCGCACGTAGGAGTTTCTCGGGGAAAAAGCCGGGGCTGCCGGTCTGCATTGCTGGTGGGGCGGGGTCGGCTCTGATGCGGGAGCGACCCCTGCAATGGGGTTTGGCTGCACCGGCTGCCTGGGTGGTGGGAGTCTGTGCGCGGGTGACGGAGGCTGCGCCCCCAGCCGCGCCGCCCCAGCCCCCTGGACCTCGGCGGGGAGCGCCCAGGGCCAGCACGGGGGTCTCGCGGGGCGACCCCAGCAGCGCCTATGTGGGGCCGCTTCTGCCCGGGTCTCTCCCCGGGCTCGGGGTCATCTGCTGGGACATCCAGGTGCCTCTTGCCTTGGCTTCTCCTGGGTCTGCACTTGGGAGAAAGATCTTGATTTTCACTGTTAAAAGCCTTCAGCTTTCTGAACATGCATGTTGTATGAACTGTGGAGTCTCTGGCTGAGCCTGGAGGGCAGGAGGCTGAGATGCTGGGGTTTCCAGGTGGGAAGAGGCCGCCCCTATCCCAGGGATGCCCCCACCTCGGCGGACTGTTCATGCTTCCTCGGAATCGTCCTGCTTTGGGGCCGAAGAAAAGGGGCCTTTCTTGTTACATTTAGTGCAGTGAACAAAAATCCAGTTTTTACCAGGTATGGGAGTTCAGGGAGAAGTGAGGGCTCAGAGACCAGGGAGGGAGGGGGACAGAGAGACCAAGTCCCAAGGACGCCCCGTGCCACTGTCTGCTGGCTCCTGGCTGCCTCACCGCCTCACTCAGGCCCTTGCCCCCGAAGGACACCTTAGCTTGTCAGCATCCCTGCAGCTGGCCCCTCAGACTCTGAATCAGTGGCTCCCAGTGGTCTTTCTGGTGGAGGGTGGGGTGGTAGCCCAACCCAGCGGCCGGTTCCGGGACCCTGGCCTGATGGGGAGCAGGTTAACCCAGCGTCTGAACTCCACCTGTGCTCACCACGGCCTGGGGACACCACAGACACTGGTCCTGGGGGTCTGGGGGCCCAGGGACTGCGGGATGAGGAGAGCTCAGAGGAAAGTGTGAACCACTTTGACTAGCGGGTGGATGCGTTCACGGAAGTCCAGGAGGATGACCAGGAGCAGGAGACAGTGACCCAGGAAGAGGTTCAGGCCACAGCATTTCAGAGCACTCCCAGGTGAACAGGAGCATGACCAGGAGCAGGAGACAGTGACCCAGGAAGAGGTTCAGGCCACAGCATTTCAGAGCACTCTCAGGTGACACAATGCCACTGGGGCTGGAGAGTGGAAGTCCAGCCCACCCTGAGTGAGACATTAAGCTTTTATTCAAGTACTTATTCTATTTCTTAAAATATCCAGCAGCCTTACGTCGTTTTGGGACTGTGATGGGCTACAAATAGACACACATGTACTTTTCAATGAGGCTGTGCCCCTCAAACTTGATTTTCTGTCTGGTTTGGGCTCTTCCTGAGCAGTGGGGTGGAGGCAGCCAGGAGTCTAAGCCTGGCGCAGTGGGGAGTCAGGGTGGTGGAGGGGCTGCTTTGGAAGCGGCTGTGTCTCCGTAACCCATGGAAGTGGGCGGATCCGGTGAAGAATGGCTGCCTGGTTTGGGCCACACCGGCGACCAGCCTGCCCTTGAACGGGAGCCCCGCACAGCCTGCCCACCACGAAGGATGGCGTGCTGGCCTTTAGGTGCCATCTCAAGGTCAGAACCCGTGGCAAGGTCGCATCTTCCTGAGCGGATACCACCTGGGGCTTCAGCTGAGGATCCGGGAGACATGGGAGTGGCAGGTGCCCCCCAGTCTCGCTGGGGTGTGCTTTGGTCCACGCACTGGGGCCAGCTGCTTGCCAGGACACCCTTGCCCCTCGGTCCTCTCAGAAGCTGGGGAGGGGCATCCCTCCCGTGTCTCCAGTGCTCATGTGGACACTGAGTGGGCAGTGGGCACCTGCACTGGGTTCAGAACTCAGCCCTCAGCCAGCTGGGAGGTGAACATGTCATCTGTCCCCTTCTGCACCTGAAAATGGAGAATGCACCGTCCTCAGGAGTGGGGGTGGCCTTAGGGGCTGTGTGCAGTCACCAGGAAGGGGGTGGGACTGGTGGCTGTCCTGGACCTGCCTTTTCCTGCCCTGCAGTGCTCTGCAGCCCCTGGGGGCGTGGGGCCTCGCCTGCTCCTCAGGGAGGGGGCTGCAGGGTTCCAGGAGGGAGAGGTGATGCGGGTGTGCAGGGCACAGAAGAGCCAGGTGGATGCGGGGGGCCTCGGCCCAGCCCTTAAAGGGGTGCAGCCCAACAGTGCTGTGGGTCTCATGAGAGGGGCCGCAGGGACCCCCTGGATGGCTTCAGGGGGATCTGGCAGGAAGCTGGACTTTGTCCCAAGACTGGGTGTGGGCTCTGGGGGGTTAGGCAGGAGGGGACAGAGAGCAGTTTCTGCGGAACAGAGTGGGGGTTGGGGTGTCCTCAGGTCATTCTCTGCCTCCATGTCCTGGTGTCCCCTGCCCCTCCTGGCTGTCCTGGGACCTGTGTATTGGCTCCTCCTGGCCCACCTTGGACCCTCAGGACTGTGCTGTGGAATGCTGCGTGGCCTGCAGAGGGGTCAGTGCAGCCCAGGCCAGCTGTCAGGCGAGAACTGTGGGGTGAACGTGGGGAGGCACAAGAAAGATGTAAATGAAGAAGAGTGGCCAGGCCGGGGGTTGGGGTGCCTAACGTGTCTGTTCTTCTCTGACAGTCGTGCAGGAGCAGAGCTCACGGCAGCCGGCGGCCGGTGTCCCCTCGCCCAGAGACAGCCGTCCTCTTGCAGGGTCTGCCGTGCTGGAGGGAAGGCTGCTGCTGGAGGTGAGTGCCACCCTTGGTACCTCAAACGCTTGACACTTGGTACTCCGTGTCACGCATGTTCAGACCCTCACCCAGGAGGCCCTTCGGTTGTGATCTTTGTAACTATCAGGACAAGTAGACTCCAGAATATGTTGAAGAGGGGTGTCCCTGGGTCGGAGTCAGCCTCGGGTGTGAGCCTCGTGGGCTGGGACAGGGAAGGCAGCCTGAGAGCTCTCGGCCCTGTGTGCTGCATCAGAAAATCATCCTCATTCTGCACCGTCTGCTTTTGCTTGTCAATGAGAGAACCTTGTACAAAATTAAGCCTTTTTCCCCCCCTAAAATGAAGGATATGGTAAAGTCTGCATTGGGCTTCCCTGGTGTGGTTTCAATCTCGGGGTGGCCTATGTGACACCCTGGAAGCTCTGGGCCTGGGCAGGAAGCTCCGTGATGAGGGGGCTTTTCACCCCATCTCCCCCATCCCCCCGACTCTGAAGTGCTGGGTTTTCCTGTGCTGTAATTCGGGGACTGTTACTCCTCTGGGAGGGGAGACTGTGGACCATTTTCCTAAACAACATAAGATGGTGGTGTGGAGCCTGCGGGGTGAATCCATTCGCCATTTTGAAGAAAAAGGGGGTTGCTGCCTCCACCAGTGGCTGGAGAGACATGGGGCTGGGTGGTCCCAGGATGGGGCTGGGTGGGCTTGCAGGGAGGAGGTGGGGACAACATGGCACTTCCTGGGTAACAGAGTGGGCTCCAGCCAGAACTCAGGACCCCTGGGTGGGGCAGGAGGGCACCAGCCAACCCGCTCCAGATGAGGGTACTGGGTCCCGGATGGCAGGCTGCCCCACAGCCAGCAGCCTCTGGTCTCCCGCGGAGCTGTGCACCTCTGGTGCGTGGGAGAGGCTGCTCAACCCCCGCCGCAGGTCCTCCTGTGTGTCTCCAGGTCAGTTCACAACCCCCAGCTCGCTCTGCCCCACCCTGCTAGTGAATGGGTCCTAGCTCCTGGGGCCTGGGAAGCCTGGAGCCTAGGGGAGGGAGGCCTGGGCCTGGTTCCCTGCTGCTGGACTTCCCGTCCTGCTCCCAGCAGCGTGGGATATTTTGGAGCTACCCTCAGGGCGGACTCTCCAAGAAGGCTTTGGAAGAGGCACGGAGGGTCGGGGTCAGGGTCCGCCCGCCCGTCTGCTCCTGGCACTGTGGCCCTCCTGCTGCCCGGCCTGACTCCCCTGCCTGGCCAGAGCGCTGGTCACACTCACTGTGTTTCGGGGGAGGTTGAGTAGTTCCTGAAGTCTCAGTCCACCGCATCTGGTTCATGTCCTCTGGCCCACAGAAGTTTCTGGAAGTTTTCTTAGATTGCATCTGGTAGGTTATATGCCCTAGCACTGCATTGCTAGGGCAGTGAAAGGGATTATATGCTCTTTTTGAAGCTTAAAAGTGTTCAAACAGGGCAAAATAAGCAAAGCAAGCAACAGCAACAGCAAATCCCAGCTTTTAATTCTAATCTTCAATCTCTTCACAATAAACTGAAAAAAGGGAAGTTTATGGCAGGGCACCCTAAATCCATACACAGCCTTGAGCTGGCACAGGCTTCAGAGTGGCTGTGGCTATGGTCTGTTGATTTAAGATGAGGAAGTTAAGGATTGGAGCCACCAGGTGCCCTTTGGGGCTGAGCCGGACCCAGCATTTCTGTTTGTTTGTTTGTTTATTTATTTGAGATGCTCCACACGTTCAGAGAAACTTTAGTAATGATTTAGAAATGACTCCTGAGAGTGTAGTCTGGACCCGGCGTTTCTTTGTCTTGAGTTCACTGGCTTGTCCTCCAAGCCCCTGCCTTCTCCAGGGAAGCCAAGACAGATGGGCCACAGCCTGTGGCTTCCCCTGGTGCACATCTTGGTGCAGGTGCTAACAGTGGGAGGATGGAGGAATGGGGAGAGGTGGGAGACTGGAGAGGGAAACAAGGGGGAGGGATCCAAAGAGATGTGAGCACCCAGAGCAGGCCCCAAAATGCCTGTACGATACGAGTCAGAGGTTTTCATTCTATTTTTTAGGTGGGCTATAGGGCTATTGGGTTTAGCAGGACTCACTAGTGCCACGGATGTGGTCTCTCTCAGGCTGGGATGCTGTCACTGACTGCTTAACTTCAGCTAGAATTCAAGTGTATGGTTACTGCAGGGGACATTTTGTAACACTTATTTAAAAATTTACGTACACTAAAGTTCATTCTTTTCAGCATTCAGTGATGTGACTGACACTGTCGTGAAGATTCGGAGCCATCCCGTCCCTAAACATTTCTCCTCTGCTGCTGTTTTCAGTCACAGCCCCCTGCCCCTGGCCATGGCTGATGTGTGCTCTGTCCCTGCAACTCTCCCATGCCTTTCTGTGGTTGTCCTGCACACGGAGTCACACGCATGGCCTTTGGAGGTCAGCTTCACTCAGCACAGTGCTCTTGAGATTTGCCCACGGTGCTGCGGGTCACCAGCTGGTTTCTTGTTATTGCTACGGGTTAGGGTTAGGGCTCATCCACGGTGCTGTGGGCCACTGGTTTGCTTCTTGTTATTGATGAGGTATGGACCGACTCCATGTGTCATTCAACTTTTGAGGGATACTTGGGTTGTTTTTAGGTTTTGGTGTTTATGAATAGAGCTGCAGTAGGCATTCACATACAGGTGTTTCTGTGAGCGCAGGTCTTCGTTTCATGAATAGTAAGCGTGTTTTTAACGCGTATCCCCCAGCAGTGAGTGAGTGTTTCAGTTGTTCAGCATCTTTGGGTTTGCACTTGGTATTACTTTTTCCAAAGCCATTTTAATACTGGAATCTTGTTAGGGCTTCAGTTTGGATTTCCCGGTGACTAACATGCTGTGTATCTTTTCATGTGCTTATTTGCATCCGTGTGTCATCTTTGGTAAATGGTCTTTCAGATCTTTTGCACATTAAGAAAACCAGGTCATTTGCTTGTTTTCTATACAGTTGAGAGAGCTCTTTATATATTCTGGAAACATGTCCTTTCTCATATGTATGATTTATAAATATTTTCTCCTAGTCTGTGGCTTGTCTTTTTATTCTCTTGACAGGATATTCCATTTTGATTAAGTTTAATTTATCAATTTCTCTTTTTGTAGATTGATTTTGTTGCCACGTTTCATTACCTAACCTAAGGTTACAAAGATTTTTCTTTTATGCTTTATTCTAAAGTTGTATAGTTTCGTGGCCGGGCGTGGTGGCTCACGCCTGTAATCCCAGCACTTTAGGAGGCCGAGATGGGAGGATCACGAGGTCAGGAGATCGAGACCATCCTGGCTAACACGGTGAAACCCCATCTACACTAAAAATACAAAAAACTAGCTGGGTGCGGTGGCGGCACCTGTAGTCCCAGCTACACGGGAGGCTGAGCCAGGAGAATGGCGTGAACCCGGGAGGCGGAGCTTGCAGTGGGCCAAGATGGCACCACTGCACTCCAGCCTGGGCAACAGAGCAAGACTCTGTCTCAAAAAAAAAAAAAAAAAAGTTGTATAGTTTCATGTGTTACATTATGGTCTATGAGCCACTTTTTGTTAACTTTGGTATAAGATGTCTGAGATGGGGTCAAGGTTTATTGCTTTTGCATGTGACTGTCCAGATGTCTCAGCACTATGTATTAGAAAGACTATCATTTCCATACTGAGTAGCCTTTATACCTTTGTGAAAAATCAATTGGCTGTATTTTTGTGGATCTGTTTCTGGACTCTGTATTCTGTTCTATATATCTGTATTTTAAATCTTTCAGTAATACCACATTATCTTACCTACTGTAGCTTTAAAATAAGTCATGATATCAAATAGTGTGAATCTTTCAATTTTGTTCTTCCTCAGAATTGTTCTGGCTCTTCTAGTTCCTTTGTTTTTCCATACAAATTTTAGAATTAGCTTATTGACTGATATCTACAAAAATCCCTGCTGGGATTTTGATTGAGATTGTGATATATCAGTAAATCCATTTGGGGAGCATTGGCGTTTGAACAATACTGACTCTCCCAACCCATGAACATGGTATGTGTCTCTATTTAAGTTTTCTTTAATTAAGTTCATCAGTGTTTTGTAGTTTTCAGCATACATATCCTGCATATTTATGTTAGTCATGTTTAAGTTTTATATTTTTGTTCTTACTGTAAATGAGACTTTTTTTAATTTCAATTTTTAGTTCATTCCTAGTGTATAGAAGTACAATTTATTTTTCTAGGTTGACTTTGTATCCTATGACCTTGCTAAACTCATTAGTAGTCCTTGGAGCTTTTTAAAATAGATTCCATGGGATTTTTTAAAACGTAGATTTTATTAGGAGTCTCCAGAGAGACAAAACCAATAGGTTGTATGTGAGGGGCCTTATTAAAGGACTTGGCTTACAAGATCACAAAGACAGACAAGTTTCACAATAGGCTGTCTGCAAGCTGGAGAACCAGAGAAGCTGGTAGTGTGGCTCAGTCCAAGTCTGGAAGCCCCAGAACTAGAGAAGCTGATGATGCAGCCCCTAGTTCAAGGTCAAAGGCATGAGAGCGCCCAGGAGGCCACTGGTGCAAGTCCTGGAGCTGGATTCTGATGCCCAAGGGCAAGAGGAGAAAAAGGCGTCATTCCCTGGAGGGGAGAGAAAGAGAGAACAGAAGGCAAATTCTCCTCTCCTTGTGCCTGTTTTCCCAACTGGGCCTCCAGCCAATGGAATTGACCCACATTGAGGCTGGTTCTTCCTCTCTCAGTCCACTGAATCACATGCCAATCTTCTCTGGAAACACTCTTAGAAATAATTCTCCACCAGCCGTCTAGGCATCTCTCAATCCAATCCGATTGACACTTGAAATGAACCATCACGTAGATTATAACTGTTGTCTGAGAATAGAGACAGTTTTATATTTACTCTTTCAATCTACGTGCCTCATTTTTCTTTCTTATTGCGCTTATAGGATGTCCAGTACAGTGTAGAATGGGAGTGGTCAAAGAGGCCATCTGCCTTGTTCCTGATTTTAGGGGGAGACCTTCAGTCTTTCAACATTCAA